CGGCCCAGACACGCTCCAACATGAGACGCAGCTCACCCATGCTGCATCGCTGGTCCGGCCGGATTGCCTGACTGGCTTGCAACAGCGTCAGCAGCGAGCGCGACACGTAACACCAGGGGCTCTGTTCTGGGCACACGCGGGTCAAGTCGATGCGCTCCATAATGACAAGCTTGTAAAAACGTTGAAAGTCTGGATCGTTGACGCGAGCCGTGCGCCAGGGATGGCCGCGAAACAGCATGGTCATGGATGTTGTACCCAGCGCCCAAACGTCGTACACGGGAAGCGCTTCAAAGGGTGTCTTCACGGGCTCGGCGTGCTGCGCGTGATACCAGGCAACGAGCTCTGGCGCCGTGTATGGTGCCGAGCCCGTGAGCCGCGTTGAGCTAGCAAAGACGGGCAAGACGGAGCCAAAATCACACAGTTTGGCTCCCGCAGCCGTGAGCAAAATGTTTTCAGGTTTGACGTCGCCGTGGATTAGGCCCAGGCGCGTGTGCATGTAGTCCAAACCCGCGGCCACCTGAACCAGCACGTCGCGAGTGCGTCGGCCAAAATCCAGGCCGTTAAAGTAGTTGCTGGAAATGGCATGAAAAAGATCGCCGTGCGCCGCGTGCTCCAACAGCAGGCAGTAGTTTTTGCTGGTTTCGACAATGCCGTGACAGGCCAGGAGACTCGGGTGCTGGGTCATTCCCAGTGACGCCTCTCGCAGCACCTGATGGCGATGGCGCAAGTTGCTCATGCTACCGTGGCGAGCGCTAGCCGGCCGCTTCTCCACCATCTTGACCACGCAGGCGATGGAACGATGGGGCGAATGGATATCGGCATCAGGTGAGACGGCATCCTCTGCGAAGAGACTCGCGGGCTTGCAGACCGGAGACGTGGAGACAGCGGTCCAGACGGTGCCAAAGCTACCACGGCCCAGGGCTTGGCGCACGGCAAGATTCATCTGTGCCAGAGCGTCCACTGGCGGCAGACGCGAACAGTCAATCATGTCTGGCAACAACACTCCCCCGTGCGCCACCGAGTGGCAAGCATGGGCTCGTTCAAATGCAAAAGCGGCCGAGGCCGGAGAATCAGCAATTCCATCGAGGCTACTGGTAGATTCGGTGGAGTAGCCCGACGAAATACCCGGCGAAATGGACACCAAAGATGGCTTGCGCGAGGCCTCGGGGTCGCTGGCAGAGGAGACGGACATGCTGGCAGTAGACGCGAGAACGCGACGACGGCGCGAGGGGCGTGGTGCAGCCGGGGCACTCGCTAGGGTTTCCCGAGAGCGAATCTTGGTCGGTACGGGCACCGGGCGTTCACTAGCCGCATCGACAGGGACGGTAGGCTTGGTAGACACCATGGACGGGCGACGAAAGTCGAGTTTGCGTCGCGCTGCGGCCCGTGTCGCTTCAGCACCGCTTGGGCGGACGGCAGTGTCGATCGACTGCCGAGTCATGATAAAATGGGGTTGAGCTGCCGGCCGGCGAAGGTCTGGTCCCGGCTTGCCCAGACAAGCTTGCTCAGGCCCGGTGCACTCGCTTGTGCGATGGCACGCCACAAGAGCGAGGAGGGCGACACTGGTCGACCAAGAAGCAAATGAAGATGGCCCAAAGCAGATCCGTTAGCGTGAGCAAACTTGAGTCTTGGCGGTCGAATGAAGGGCGGGCTCTGGGATGTATGAGTAAGGAAACTTGGGCTCGCCGGCAATCAGCCCCGGTGGACAGCAGCGACGCATGGAAACCAGCAGCACCCGACCAGCAGCGTTGGGCAAAGAGGGGGACAAGCGTCGCACGCAGGACTCGACGACTGCCGGGGACGGGCGGCGTTGCAAAGGAACAAGTCTGACGGACGGCGGCAAGCTACGACCCTTGGCGAGCCGAGACACGGATGATCACAACAAACAAATGCCCAGCAGCTTCAGCACAAGACGAACGGCAGGCGAGCAGGCGAGCAGCGACTGGTGGTGCCGGAGGTGCGGAGTGAAACGGAAGCAATCCCCGTGGTCGGGCGTCGTCCGCACAGTGGAGACAGTGGGGTCCGAAAGAAAAATAATGCAATTCACCCCTTCCTGCTAACGACTAGGCCGTGTCGGGTCGTGCCTGTTTCGCACAGGGCAAACAAGCAGGAGGCGGGGCTGGGTGAAGCTGCTCAAAAGAAATGGCGCGCCAGGTGGGACGGCAACCAGGTGGGCTGGAGGGTGACGGGCCTGAAGGTTGGCATGCATGGTGCGTTGTTGACGCTGCACACTTGAAGCAGAAGCAAGTATGCTAGCGACGACGCTCCAACAATGCACAATCATGTCCGATGCGTAGAAAGGCATACACAGAGGTGGGACGACCCCGTTCTGCATCACATGCCGGTCATCGACGGCGGCGATTGATCAATCGTCCCGCTCACAACGAGGGTTGCTGCAGAATCAGCTTGGTCAAGAGGCACCCCCAACAATGACGCCCTTCACCCAAACCTCACCCATGCCTGCCCGAAGGACAAACGGCGACGCACATGCTCCTCTCCCGCCCGCCACGCATTGTTCTTTTGCGACTCGGCGCCAAAATGCAAACTTGCATGCATGCAAGCCAAACAAGTGTTTGCAAAGCGCGTATGCACACACACACACACACACACACACACACACACACACACACACACACACACACACACACACACACACACACACACCGCTGTGCTCAGCCCCCCACAATCATCATGGCTGATGCAGCATCCCAAGGGAAAAGGAACAAACACATTTGCGATGGTGCTTGATCATGCACTGTTGGGGGGTGTCCCCAGAACGTTTGTGTACGTGTCCTCCTTCGCTTGTACCCCCTTTTCTTCAGCCTTTAAGCCTGACTGACTGACTGCATGCTCAATGTTGTTGCCAGTGGGAGGCTGGGTTTGTTTCAAATTACAGTCACCACAGGTCAAATGACATGGAGCCAGGGCTTTGAACTGACCCCTGTCATTCAGTTGTTGTGCACCTCTCGTCATTGGTCGACCACGAAGAGCGTGGCATGGCCAAGCCCCGGGACAAAGTCGCTCATGTTCCCCCTTGATTGCACAAGCAAGTCACCCCCACACCCCGAATATACCCCTCATGTCAAGGTTTGGGACATGGGGATACGACGGTTCTCCCAATGCATCCTGAAATCTCCTTTACATGTACTTGCGCCTCCCCGATCCGCAGGTGGCATTCATGATTCGATTTTCGGGTGCATTCTGTCTCTTCGAGGGGGGCAAGCTGAAAATTTCGGTCTCGCCTGAGCCCGCGCACGTTTTTAGCCGTATGTGTCGACGTTGCCGATTGCATTTAGTGCTGGCCGCCGTTGCAGTTAGAGGCTCGTCAGTGCCGCCCTTGAGATGGCAGGTGACTCTCGTCAGATCGACTTTTAATCTGACGCTGGGCACATCTTTCGACCCTCGATTCTCCTCTGCCCCTCGCTCCCTCGACACCACATGCTTCTCCAAGCCTCCCCCTGCTCATGTTCTGGTGCTCTCCATGCCCAACCGGCAACGCTGCCGGCTGAGAATAGAGAAGCGAAGACGGGGCCGAGACCGCGGTGGTGCTGGACGATTCAATTTACAAGGAGCGGCAGCGGTCGGAGAGGTTGTAGAATGGCCACCGTCACAACCGGTTTAATGACCTAGTTTGTGTCATGAAGAGGCGAAGAAGGAAGAGAGAGAACGGAGAGCAGCTTGGTGGTAGAAGGGGAGACCGAGCCCTAGTAGACATCGCCCAAGAGCGAGCGCCAGCAACGGTGCGCTTCGGTCGGATTGGTCTTCTCATCGAACCAGGCGTCGTTGGCAACCTTGGTGGCCTCCATCACCAGGCGATTGATATCGCTTGCCGGGAAGGGGTGCTTCGGCTGGCCAGCCGCGCCCATCAAGTAGGCGTTGAGAGACTGTCCCGCCATGCCCGGTGGTGCGATGTTGAGCATAAAGTTTTGGTACAAGGCCATCAACAAAATGGCAAAGTTGCGACGCTCTGATTCGGCCGGGGCCGCTTTGAAAAAGGTGACGGACAGCACCTCGAGGTGGAAGCTCTTAAAGGGCTTGACCAGGCGCCAGCCCTGGGGTACCTCCTGGCCTTCGGGGAAGTGCTGAACTTGCTCTTGGTCGTTCTTATAAAAGCGGGAACGCTCCCCCGCGAACTGGTTCCAGCGCTTGGCCAGCTTGATGAGTGGCACAAGGCGGCCACCGCTACGCTCGTTGGCCTCTTCGGTAGCGGCCTTGGCAGCCTTGGGGTTTGAGGCGATCCAGCCGCCGAGGGCGCGGTCCGGGATCTTGTACGTGTCACCGTCGGCAAAAGAAGGTACGACATTGATGCTGAGGCTGGTGTCCGTGAAGAGGATGCTCACGGAGCGCCCCTGAAGATTGACTTCTTCAATCGGCAGGCGGTCAGGAAGGTCGCGCTTGAGGACGTTGCAAAACTGGTTGATCAGGTCGCGTGCCTCGGAGAGGGCGTCGTGCTCGTCGCCACGGGGCTCGAACACGGCAAACATCTCAACGTTGTGCAACGGCTTGATGGCGGTGTTGCGCGCACAGGAGCCCGTGAGAAACGTGTCCACGACAAGGTCCTGAGCGAGGAGCACCTCACGCACGATCGCGTGGCGCTCAATTGCAAGCTGGACGTCGTCGCCGGGCTCGATCCGCTGTCGAACAGCAGCGAAGCGCTCGGCAACGCTCAGTTCAGGAGACTCTGGAGGAGCAACGCTCATCATGAAGGACTCTGTAAGAGAACGGCAGTGCCGCGGGTTCAGTGGCAGGCAAACGGGTGAATTGAGATCGTACGAGCCAGCGGCAGTGTGAGAAATGCGATCAAAGCATCCCCCCCCCTTCGTCACTTTTCTCAAAAGTCCTTGATTTTTTTATTTGTTTGTTTTTCGTTTTACGTCATCATGTCATGTTATGAACAGCGTCATCATGTCATGTTATGAACAGCGAACTGTCATCATGTTTGTTCGAATCTGCAGACGAGCGTCGAATTCCCCATACGAACTACGATTTGTGAGGTATTCAGCGGTTGCATGCAGCGTTCCTTGTCGTGCCCGGGTGCATAGAGGCGGGTACAACGTTAGAGGCTGACCAACGACAACTCGCGGCACCGTGTGTGGCCGTGAGGCCAGTTAAATTCACCCTTGCGTAGACCCTTTCCCGAAGCACATGTTATAGCATTCATCATTCGATTTTGTTCAGGTTCTTTTCCTCTCTAATAAAACTGCTGCAGACTCACAGACGGACGTCCAGGCCAACAAAGTAATCCTCCAACGGCGCCATGTCGTCGTCCTCCTCCAGACCGGGTGCATTCGGGCCGAGAGGGCCATCGTTATCCAGCAAGTCGGCGTCTGAGCCGAGGCTCGCAGACGCGCCATTGGCATCACCAACCGCGCCAGCCTCACCCCCAGGCAACACATCCACCAGCTCCACTTCATGTGCAACGGCCCGCGACCGCCCTGCCGCCTCACCAGCACCGAATCTGTCTGGCTCTGCGTCTGCCGTCTTGACGAGCTCTGAGCCTGGCACCCATGCCGGCACCTCGCCCACTGGCCACACGGTCTCCACCAGGACCCTGAGAACCAGCTCCAGCTGCTGTATCCCATGTTGCACGACCCCAAGCGTTTCAAACTATCAAGCAGACCAATAAATGAGACATGGGCCGCGCACAAAAGCCCCAAAGCAAGAAACTCGGCGATGCAGTGCGGGACTTGGGCTAAACAAGAATGTCAAGCAATGCACACACACACACACACACACACACACACACACACACACACACACACACACACACACCTCACTGGATGAGGAAGGCTCACTGGCTTTTGCGCGATACCGCACAGGAGCTTCCTCCAAAAGGGGATGAGCCAGCGGAGCTGATGCCTGCCGCAGGTTTGACTGAACTTGCTTGACCTCTGAAGCGAGCGCAGCCCCCTCTAGTGGCACACCCAGCCAAAGGCCTGCGAGAAGGGCCAAGGGCTCAAGGGCCTGTGACGCGGCCCACAGCGTACAGAAAACAGCCCAAAGCTGTCGGTTGGGTAAATCTAATGACGAGAAGCGGCCATCCTCCAAGACCTCCAGCTGCTCCGACGACAGCGGGCTTTGACCCAGCTGCGCCAGCCAGACCTCCAGCAGCCACAACGTCTGCGCCAAATCCACCCCCCGCCACGGAACCCAAAAGTCTTGATTGGCATGCTCCATTAGCGTCCGCAGCACTTCCATATCCTCGGGGCTGGGTACGCTTCGGCAAAACCTACACGCGTGCGAGACCGATAAGCAAGAATAGCCTTTGCAGTTCCGTGCGCTCGCAATGACGCTTTGCAGGGCCAATGCACATACCGATTTAGCTCGGCTGCCAGAGCCTCTGCGTCCAGGTCACCGCAGGCGGCACGCACCGAGCCGTACACAGCCGAGAGCAACGGCAATTTGACCTCCTAACATACAGATGTTCACGCAAGGTCATGGACCAGCATATTGCCATGAGCCACAGCGACATGTTGATACCTTAAAAGCGCCCCCTTCCCTGATGAGGTTCCTCCCGAGGCAAGGCACAGACCTGGTCTTGGTCATCGGCACCGTGAAGCTGTGCTGCCTGCCTCACAAACGTTCGCAAGCTGGGACCGTCACCATTGACTTCCACAGCTCGCAATGTGTTAGCACCCTCCTCTCCGCTGGCCGCACTCGAGGCTGGCGCCGTATGAGCAAAGTGCTCTACACAGCCCTCGACGCACGTTCGTGGATAGACAAGCTGCAGTGGTCGCAAATAGAGCCAGAAGTCGCGCACGAAGCGCACCTATCCTTGCACCGCACCGTTGCGCCGCGCTCGTAAGGAATGTTGCGGCCAATGCTACGTCATCATGCATTGAGCACGCCCACCTGCTCGCCCGTCTGAATTGAGCCCGGACGTCGGAGGCGGACAAACGCAATCGCTTGCTCAGCCGTATACTTTACAAACGCGAAGCAAACAGCCACGAAACACCAGAATCAAGTGAGCTTGGAACATGTTTCGTTGCTGGGGCACACTTGCATGACAAGACTTTGAAGCGGACCTTGAGGACGTAGACAAGGATGCACGCAATAAGCATGCCCGTGCGTCCCAGCCCTATCGACATGAGTCAGGTTGTTACGAGGCGCCATGCAGACAGGTTGTAGAGCTGCGGTGAAAAAGGCATTTTAGACAGGACTCGCACCGGCGTGGCAGTGCACGGCCACCGCGACTTGAAGATCCAGGGCTTGTGCAGCCACCTTAACCATTGTCAACGCCGTTTGCATGGAGGGCACACCATAATCAGCCCAGCCAAAAAGGTGCACGGCCACACCACGTGCGGCAAAGGCGTCAAGGTCGTAGCTGAACCCGCCCGGTAAGTTGCCCTGCAGAGGCCATTGGGTCAAGCAGAAATTATCGGAGCCGTAAAAACAAAAACAAAAAAACAAAAACAAAAAAAAAAGTATGTACACGTTGAACGCACCTGGCCGCAGTTGGCGTGTTCGCCGTGGTCCTCGAGATTGATAAGAACGCGCACGCGACTCTCCACCAATTTGTCAAGGAGGCCAAACTCGTCTACCCCGCGCTGCGTTGGGCGGGCCAGGGCCAGAATATCGTTCGTAATCCAAGTTGAGAAGATGCCTGGTATGGCTTGATCTGGGAAGCCCCCGATGAGTGATGACAATAGGTTGAGCGTGTGCCGCAAGCAGACAAGCGCCAAAGTAGGTTGGGGAGGTCGGGGGTCATGGGTTCATGCGCACCGTTGTGCAGCCAACGCTCGAGATCACCGCAATATTGGCAGCCGGCACCCCCACAGAACATTTTACACATGCGCTCGCTCGAGGCCAGCTTGCGCACAATGTCACCGAGTTTGCTGTTTTTTGCCGACACATCTCGCTGAGAAGGCGGAAGCAGGGTTTTGGTGCTCACGCCGATGGCCGAATGCCCCTTGCTCGCCTGTACCATGGCCATGGGTGGTCGCTCGTCTGCGTGGCGCTGCTTGATCTAATAACCGACAAGGGTAAGCCCAAGGTACCAGGTACCGAAAGGTCATGCGAGGACATCAGCGGAAGAACATGGAAATTGGCCTAGGAGTATAGAAAAGAACACGGGCTCCAGCGGCGTGCATGTTTGGGCGACCCACCGTTTCGTGCCATTCCTTCACATCGACAAAGCGCCCACGCAGGTGAAAGACGCGGCCTTGCACGGGTGATGATATCTGCACAGCACGAATTGGGTATGAGGTACACCGGATGGATCGCCGGGATCAAGGAGGACACGAAGCGACGCGACGCACATCCAGGCAGTAGAGCTCGGGTCGCTTGGGATGCGGGTAGCAAAAACTGGCGCCTTCGGCCAGCACGATAGAGCCAAGCATCTTTTGGTCCCGGGCATCCTCTTGGCTGGCGAAATAGTCGATGCGGCCGTAGCGCAAGATGAACCAGCGCCAGATCCAGGTTCGCGAGCCAATGCCTTGTTTTTCCAGCCAGCCCCGTTTTAGGTCTGTGAGGTGTGTCACGACTTGACCACCGGCGCGCGTGCCTGAGAAGCAGTTTAATAGTCAAGGGCGCAAAGCTGATGAGAACGTGGAGCGTGAAGTCATTGGTGGCGGCTGCGCACGACAGGGCAACGCACCGAGGTTGACGGGTTCGCTGGCGGCGGATGGCTTGGCTTCGACAAGGATCATCGAATTTGTGTCAGCGTGGTAGGAGGAGGCACTCGCGCTCGCGTCACCCGCTACCGGCATGCAAGGAAAGAGTTGTGAATAAACTAAAAAAAAAAACCTGCCGTACGATTGCCACCCGCACAGGTGCTTGAGCAGAAACGGTTCGACCGTACGAGAAGGTAAGAGCGCAATTTGCTGTCTGATGGCTTGGGCCCACTCGCGAATCAGGAGTGGACCACCCTGCAGCAGATACATGCGTGCCTAAAGTATACACCCACGCGTTGGCGGTAAAAAGGCGGCATGAGGGTGCTCGTCCTGACACATGTAGCTGCGAGGGAGCATGGATGCCGTGGCAACCTGCGAGGGTGAGGATATTTCCAGCAGATCCATGGATGGATCGGGGGTCTTGGAGATATTGAGGCGCGCGCCCTTGAGCTGAATGGTACCTGTAGGGTTGAGTGAGACACGAGACATTAGTGAATCTGCATCTGGAGTGACCGACGCAGCGCCGCGTCTATTGCTAACCAGCTGGGTCGGCGTCCCGCTGTGAGCGTCGATACTCGATCATGCTGTCAAACAGAATCAGGTAGCGCCGGCGCCAGGCCGAGTTGGTGTTTTTGCCACGCTTAAGCAGATGGCCCTCCTATCGTACGAGCATGGCGTCGATCAATTTCAGCAGCCGTCATCAAGCTGAGGACAAGGCCGTGCGTCGGCCCGACATACCTTGTGCGCAACCTGGACCTTTTGACGAGGCTCGCGATCTCCAGCAGCGGCTGCTGTTGTGCTGGATCGCCGCCGCATCCTGGCACGACCTTTGGGTCAGGCGGCTACAATGCCAGCTGCAAGCCCGTAATGATCGTGTCTCTGTGCGAGAAAGGGCGCTGCGATGTGTTTGCACCCGCAGAGCGACCAATAATTGGAGCTGAGGGCGTGCGAGCCCGGCGCTGTAAACTCTTGAGGCTCACTCGCTCGCTCGCGAACTCAGCCTTTTCGAAATAACAACGCACACGCAGCAAGCCGGACAGGGCTACCCCCCCCCCCCCCCCCCCTGGAGGCCCTCACACCAGCTGGTATCTGCGCATTTGCTCTCCGCCGCTGCCGTTGGTTCTCCCTGACACACGTGTGTGTGTGTGTGTGTGTGTGTGTGTGTGTGTGCGCGCCGAGAAAAAAAAAGAAAACGAGACAGAGAGCAAAAGCGTAAGTAAAATACTTACATGAAAGACAAGATCCTGAATTATACCTCCTGGAATTAGATTTCCGGGTTCAGTTGTCAGCAAAACTGGAAACGAACCTGATCCGAACCTTGTGCAAGTTGCGCAGTCATCATATTTCTACTCAAAGCTGAAGCAAATCTTCATGAGATAAGTTTTATATGCTTATTACTTCTACAATAAGTATCCATCTCACTACGACATCTCTTACGGGCAGCCAAACTGCGGACCATGGTTTGAAAAGTGCCTGACACCGATCGATGCCTCCACACACACACACACACACACACACACGCAGACATGCACGCTCACACACACACAAATGGCAGTCGCCATCAGCGACATCAGGCGGAAGATTGAGATGCTGCCAACTCGGGGAAACGGCAGCCAGTCGCTTAAAAAAACGCTCAAGAGCACGAAACGAAGAGCTCGATGCGGCACTCGACTGCTCTATGCAAGCCATCCAGCGCAAGTGTCTCCAGGCGGCTCGCTCGTCTCGCTCATGTCGCGCCAAATTAGTCTCACTCGAGTTGTGTTGGCCTTTGATGTTGTGCCGCATCACCCGTCCACAGCTTGAGTGGGTGACTCTGCAACGACCGCTTCTACAAAGCCCTTCAACAGCATCACGCGATGCATTTTCTGCAGAGTCTTGTGCTCCCACACTACCACCCCGTGCCTGGATATCGTACTTTGGGGTTGCTACATTTTGCCATTGCTTGCCATCCACCCTATTTTCTCTTCTGCCACTTCAAGATGCGCCGTCGGCTGGAACGTCGCCGCCCTTTCTTTGGTGTCTCGGGCTCGCGGTCGCCGTCTCTGTCCCGATCCTCGACCTCATCAAGTAGCTGTTCTAGCCGATCGGCAAGCCCAACGCTACGCTTTTGGCGCATTGCGATCCATGGCCTCCACATCCCTCGCCGTCTCTTACGCGATAGCACCACTTTGCACAACATGATCACGCTCTTAGGCATGCCTGGACAAAGCGATCGGCATGACCTTGAAACTTTTATTCAACCAGACCAGCTTCGCCTCCTCCTCACCCTCTACCGCCACACACCAGCCACCCTGCGCGAGATGACCCTCGTTGACTTGCTCCAGCTGCACGGCATCATTGACTTTTTGGACGTGCCGCGCTGGCATCGGCACGTGCAGCAGACGTTGGTCCATCGCATGCTTCAAAACCCTGAAGGCACCCTGCCGGTTCTCCTGAGGCATGCCTCTTGGGTGGGTAACGCCGCCTCAAACAGCTTGCTTGAGCTCCAAGTACGCAACCATGCTCACTTGTGCGATGCTCCTACCGCGCAACCCCTTTTCTCAGGACATGTACCCGATGTTGCGCCAGTTGCCCGAGCTGACGGTTCGCCAATGGTCTCGCAATCAACTCCTCCCCGTGCAAGTGTACCGTGAGGCCTTCCCCTGCCACTTTCGCTTTCCTCGAGTCGTGTTGCAGCGTGAGGCCACCGATATGGCTGGCTTGCTGACGACACACCAAGCCCACCCGCAGCCCGGCGCATCTGCTCATTCCTCGAGAAGAGGGCTCTGAGCACTCGTCACCCTCGCAAATTGAGTTTCTCAGAAAAGACCTCAAGAAAAAAAAAAAAAAAGATCAGTCAGAAGGATCACTTAAATCGCCTTTTAAAACACAACAACAACAACAACAAGTTATAACAATGCTTTGCAGCACTAGATCTGCATCAACGATGCTTTGTGCGTTTTTCTGATGGACAAGCGGCGTCCGAATGACGGCGACGACGGGCACGCTCACTGCTGGCCTCGTCTACAATGTCATCCTCCCGCTCGGCCTCTTCGGCATCTTCATGCTCTGGCACGTCGTGCTCCTCCTCCAAGTCTTCATCTTCCCGGCCTCGAGCATCCACTTGCCTCGGTAAGCGCGGGCGCCGGGGTGGAGCCAGGGCCGCATTGCCTTCGGCCAGCGCTTGCTGTTGCTGCTCTTGGAGCTCGGCACGCACACCGCTATCCAGGAATGAGCGCACATAGCTGTACACGTGTGCGTGGGTATGAGCCTGCTGGCGAAGCATCTCGAGCAGCGTCGTCGTTTCCTCTTCCGAGTCGGAGGCTCCGTCGTCCGCGTGAGCTGCAGAAGCTGTTCGCACAATGGAGCGTTGCCACACCTCGACCTAGCGAGGAGAGAAAAGCAGGTCAGGTTCATATTGATAAAAATCAAGCAACTCGAGCCCCCGGGTGCCAAATTGCCAAGCCATCGCAAGACCGTACTGGAAGCGCAAGGTCCTCCACAAAGAATTGAATCATGCGAAGCGACGGCTTGGCCATGCACCGCTGCAGCAAGTGGCAATTTTCAAGCAAAACTACTTGAAGGGTCGCGTGGACAGGTGATCAGTCAGCAAGGCAAAAGCAGTCGCTAGCACAGCGAGCCATGCTCGCATGCCTTTGAGGAGGACGCATTCGTGCATGCCTACGCACATTCGTCGTGGTTGATTCGATAGAGAGCATGGAATAAACGCATGGCGTCCAGCGCTTGATGATTGACGCAGTAGAGAAGGATATTGGATACACCTGCAAAGCAAAGTCAAGACATGGCCAATAAGTTTGCATCAGGATTACCTCACCTCACGCCAAGCTACTACAAACCTTGGGTAGTGCGGCCAAAAAAGTCGAGCGAAACTCCCCCTGCTCTTTGAAGCAAGAGCTCCAGCACCTGCCATCGCATCAACAAGCGTGAGATCAAGTGAAAGGCCTCTTTGGGCTAGCTCAAAGACTAACCATGGTATTCCCACGCTGGACCAGGGTACGAAGAGTGTGTTGAAAGATAAAAGCAAAGACCTCGGGCTCCACCTACAAAAGGGCCCAAAACAAGCCGAGAAATTCTTGAGCCTTGGAGCGAGAAAGAAGCATTGAAGAGGACAAGCGGCCCGGCCGGCCAAGGATAACATGTCGTGTGCCGCATACGAGGAGCGAGGCACACCTCAAATTTGTCCAGCAGGTACTTGACCACAGCCACCCGGTTTCGGTTGGCAGCCGCCATGAGAGGAAACCAGTTGCGCAGAGCCAGCGAGTCCTGGTACGACAGTGGTCCCACGCCAGTGACAAAAGACGGGGATGTGAGACGCGTGCGGTGAGCAAGCAGCAAGACCAGAGGGGGTTGTACCTGGTCAAGCTGATGGTACTCCATCCAGAGCTTGAGCGCTGTGACATTACCAGACGCGCAAACAAAGTCCCAATTGTCCTACACGGCGAGAAATGAGCCGACCAGATGGACATCTGGGCAGCTGGGTACAGCTTTTGACAAGGGCACTGGCTCACCATGACACCGTAGTTGTCGACCTGCTCCCGGAAATGGTCAAGCAGCCAGCGCATGGTCGAGACGCGACCGGAAGCACACGCATGTCGCGTGGCGACCTATTGATGGGTCGCGTGCCAGGCAAACGCGAGGGAGAAGGGAAAGCAATATCAATGGGTATGACTCAAGTTAAACAGCGAGTCTTTCAAGAAGCGCTCTTGCCCGTCGAGATTGGAGGGAGGCTCTCACAAGAGGAGCGAACCTGGATTGTGAGCATGAGCAGAAATTCGTTGGGAGAAGTGTGCGTGGACCAGCGCCGCCAGGTTTCTTTGAGCACGTTGAGATGGCCCATCTGAGCAGCCTAGAAATTAATCCATGAGTGGAACATGAATTGAAAAATGGACGCGGTTCTGGTGTGGTAGCCTCGTCGTGAAGACTCGAACCTTGACAAAGACTTGTTGGAACACTGTTAAACGGGGCCGCGTGTGATCGAGATACCACATGAGCTGCCGGCTATCAATCTGATCGTTTACACACGAAACAAGAGGTGGCGGTGTGGGAAATAGGTGAGACCGGTGGCAAGGCGCGGTGAGCAAGTTGCAGCGTGCGACAATTCGCCGGGTGCACCCGCACACCTGGAGCTGCTCGTGGTAGACGTCCTTCCAACACTTTTCCCAGAGCCCATCATGCTGGATGAGCAAGAGGCAAGGCCAAGCAACAAGAACAGAGGCTATGAGCACGAGACGATGGCGGCTTTGAACGACTTGTGAGCGTTGCGTGCCGGATGGTCATACGCGACAGTGATCTCGCCATCGCAGTGCCTGCAGCCATTGAAAGCGTTGGATCAGCTGCGGGTACCAGGCGCATCGTGAAGTGTCAAAACAGAAACCAGATGAGAGAACGAGTGTGATGAAAAGGTGTCTGTGCCGTGCTTGGCGACCAAGAACAACTGCATGCAGGCGCATACCTTATAATACCGACGAGACACCTGCTTGAGCCGAAGGCAGTCCTCGTAGGTCAGGTGGGGGATAATCTATCCGGGGTCGAACCAGTAAGCCAGCAGCCAGCAGAGGGGAGGTCCAAGAGGAAAAAGGTGCGTACGTAGGCTGTGAAGAGCTCGTCCGGGAGGTGTTCCAGTCCCAGCATTGCGCCGGACCAGGAACACGAGGAACGACCGGCCGATGTCACGGAGTTGGTCCCGCTAGCATGAACAAGCTCCAATCGGCGCCCACCTCGAGCACAAGCACCAAACCCCCGCCCGCCCCCCCCACCGACCCAGCTTGACCCCCTTCCCCTTCAACCCCTTGGTCGGTCCGACGTCCATCAGCAGCCGCGAGCGCCTCGAAACAGCTGTATCGACCCGTCAGCAGCAGCAAATGCTTGAACCCAAAATTCCGAATAACAGCGATAGAGACAGAGACGGACACAAGAGGTAAAGGCAGAGATGTGCAAGGAGAAGCGAGGTAGAAGTTCAAGTTGATCAAAGAACTGCAAAGAGAGTCAGAGAAACACATGTTTTGAGAGAAAACTACAGAGACACAAACGAATAGAGAACAGAGGGAAGGAAAAAGACGAGTCAGCGTATCAGAACGAATCAGGCTGGGGTATGTGATTTGGAACTCAAGACCAGAGCCAGAACCAGGCGGACGGGCGAGAGGAGAGCTTCATGAGATAAGAGGCATCGCAGGGTAACAAGGGAATGGGCTACTATCACTATTAGTGGCGGCTTTTAATTTTATTTTTTGAAAAATCAATTCAGCTGAACTGATGGACTGCACGCACTCTTGCTCTCGAGGCTTGTGGTCATGCAGAGACGACGAGAAAGGGGATGAGTGGCACATTCTCAAGCTAACCATGACTACACGCCGCTGCTCAAGGGTAAAAAATGTGGATGTGCCCTGTGTCGCTCATGGTGCCGTTTGGATGGCGCTGAAAACTTGAGACGTAGAGTGTGTCGAGGTGGGTGCTCATGGCCATGCCGAAGCGAGCAAAATCCATTTGGCCGGGATTGGCCAGCTCGCCGACGTAACCGTATGGGGCCTCTAAACCGTCGCCGTTGCTTGACGAAGGAGCGTAGGCCAAGATTCTGCCAACGTGGTCACCCTGCGCGGGTGCGCCAATGAGCAAAATCTCGTTGACAAAACATAGGCTGCGTCCAAACAGGTCGTTTGGCTCGTCGCTGGAGAGAGTGGCCTGCCAGGTCAGACTCGCATTCGCCAACACGGTCGTGTCCAGGTGGAAAATATATGCGGCCCCATCAAGGGAATTGCCGGGTGTCTCGCTCAGGGTTGCGACAGCTAGTCGGGTGCCGGACAGGGCCAACGAGACCAAAAGGGTTCGGCTTGAAGGGAAGGCAGAGGCGGAGAGTGCCTTGACGAATACAAAATTGTCGCCGCTGGATCCACGATGGTAAAGGAAGAGGCAGTCGGGCGGGGGCAGGTTATCAGGATCACAACGTGCGCCAACCACCAACAGGTCACCGCTCAAGCTGAGAGACCGACCAAAGTTCAGACCGATGGAAAGGGGGCCTTCCACAAATTGAAGCGGGTTAGAATCGAGACTCGTTCCGTCGTTCGAAATGGCGAACACCCAGAATGCGCCATTGTTCTCAAGCTGTCGATCGGTGCGCGCGCCAACGATTAAGACACGTGTATCCATGGCCAGCGCAAACCCCATCTCATCGCCGACTTGAGCGTTGGGTGGGAACAGGTTGACCATGAGACTAAACGACCCGTCCGGGTAACGTCTGTACACGTGCACAAGTCCCGCATTCGCCGCTGCTATGTTGTTTTTGGGAGCGCTCACCGCCACGAGGTTTCCCGCGGCCGCCACGGCAAAGCCCATGTTGCCATCGTAAATGGCATGTATTGGTATACTGCCCTGGTCATAGAGGTGCCGAAACCACCAAGAGCCCGTCATGCGGGCAGCCTGGCGCAAAGCAACTTGTTCCGCGCGCAGCCGCGCATTCTCCACTCGCAGCTCGTCCACCGCCGCGCGCAGCGTAGCCAGCTCCTGCCCCAGATCCGTCGATCCAAGCCACACCCGACTCGAGTTGGTTGACGCTGCCTCCAAATGCAAGTCGCCCACCTCGTCCACAAAAATCTGCGCCTCTTCCCCCACCACCCCGCTCACAACCCAGCCCACAGCCCACAGCCACATGACCCATACCACCGCCATCATGACCAAATCGGTGCCGGGCCCGCCACGCGCTCCTGCTCCCAAAAAAAATAGAAAGTAACACAGGGAGGAGCGTGGAGTGGGGGAGTGGGCATAAAAATTTTCCTTTCTCTCTTCTCTCTCTAAGCTTTATCACCCTTGCCTCACTACATGTGGTAATTTTAGAATTCCTATACTTTGCTCTTTGCGGACCGGCTGTATGGCCGACGTTAGGGTATAGCTCGCTCTGCGTCGCTTCGTCTCGGTCAGCGGCAAATTTGATGTCTCTACGACAGTACGTTCCTGTGTCTCAATGTCCCAGACCGTTTGCACACTTCACTGCCCCAACGCCCCGACGTCTCTATATTTGCATCTGCTTCCACTCATAAAAAAAACCAAAGCTTCTCGATTGATATAATCGAGCGTCAAGGCCGCGGGCCAGTTGGAATGCTGAAGAGGGTTGTAAGACATGACAGGAACAAGAAGGTCCAAGTGTCCCCCGACTCAGTTGGCGGAACACCAGGGAAAGGCGTTGGCTTCGATGTTGTCCTTGAGGCGCAGGTAGGCCGCCGCCAACTCGTCGCCCTCTCGCAGATAGCCCTGCAGAGCTCAGTGCAACACACAAAAGTGTGTGAGCTGGGCTCGCAACGCTTTGGACCGTGTATTGAAGCCCTGCCCGCCATACCTCAATTCTGGCAATCAGGTGCTTTCGGCGCGCACGAGCATCTGCCATGTCTTTTGTGATGTCCTGCAATTATAGTAAAAGGATGAGTATCATTATGGCCAATGCAACGACCGAGCTTGGGAACGACAAGTATTAAACCAGATGGACCGAGATGGGCTGCCATACCAATGCATCAAGTGCCTCCAGAGTCTGCACCATTTTTTCCACGTGGCCCAAAACCTACCACCGCCACCATAACGCAGGGACCGTGACAGCTCTCCAAGCCACGACACCAAAGCATCGCGCAGCCGGCGCTACCTTGCGATGAAGAACCGGTGTCTCCTCTAGAGCCAATTTACGCTCGAGAAACCCCTGTTGGATTGCTGACCGTGAGTTCGAGAGACCATGGACTCAAACGCGGTTGCAAAACAGAGGGACACCTTGCACATGGCCACACCTTTTCGATGCTATCGTGCCGCCCACGTAGATCCCCCAGTCCATCTGTTGGCCACATTGCGTCACCTGGTTAGCCATCATTTCTTGTCACAAGCAGGTAAACAGCTCACTTCAGCGCTCGGCTCGAGAACTTCTTACCGTAATGCGCCTGCACTTTGGCGGCCAGGGCATCAACAGCAGCCATTTGGGCTTCCTCCTCCGGTGAGAGCTATGAATTTGACAGACCAAACCTCGAGGTGAGCCACTGGGCGTAGCTTCGCGCCCCAAGCGCTTGTATCACATGCACGTACCCCTTTGACAATGAGCATCAGCTTGGCTCCATCTTTGAGGCGGGCAGCAGCAAGGGTTTGGTCTGGATCGCTGAGGGCCTTGCCCTTGTGCACAAGCTTCTGTGCTTGCGGTGGAACACCCAATTGTTCAGAGACCTGACATCAACCATCCCGCCAGTTCAATCGATGAGGTCAAAACGTATCGCGCAGCGACCACCGAAACGGGCCACTCACCAGCTGTTGAAGGTCAGCGACCGTTGCTTGAGCGTCAAGTTCCAGCTAGAAGCCGCAGTTAGCCGTCAGACAGGACGAGAATCCATCCCATGGGCAGGGAATACCGCCACCCATGCCTCGACCACAACAGCTCTGCGCCCGCGCACCTCATGCTTGGCCTTGTTGTGCACCACTACCACCCTCATCCTGTCCACATATACGCTGTCCCGGGCACGATCAAGACCGCCTCGCAGCGCCAAAATAAAAATGGCAGCAGATAACATGAATTATTGACCCCTCTAACATGTAAGATGAATTTGTATTTTTTGTATTTTTGTTGTTTTTGTTTTTGTTTTTTGTTTTTTGCATAATTGTGGAAGCTTGCACCCTTCTTCCGCTTATGGGAGGGCACTTGATCCTGCGGTTGCCTGTGAGTGCCTCGGCACTTGTATCTCTGCCCGTGCAGGTGCTTGTACCCGTGTTATTGTGATGCTGAGACAAAATGGCAGGAGTCAGAGTACCCGAATACGCTGTTCGGAAAAGCGCACGTGCGTGCGAGGGTTTATAAAACATATAATTCGATTTAACTTTCTGGCAGCTGGCGTGGCTGGCAAAAGAGAGCCCAGAACGTGGCAAAGGAGCATCCGCCCACTGCAGTCCTGATCAAGACTGGAGCTTGCAAAATGAACGCAAGTTTAAAAAAGGGAAGAATTTGTGCTGCCGAGAACGACGCAGACAAGCCACGAATTGGCATTAGTGACCAAGTGGGCGGACAGGAGAGTTGTTGGCAGCGCGTATACCAACAGCCCGGTCAACAATCGGATGAAAGGTACGCTCAGCATATCAAAGCACAACAATACAAGCCGGTAAAAAGAAAAAATTATCTAGACATACAACACCCAATGGGAATGGGAATGGTCACCAGCGTCTGGTCCCGCCAAGGGTGGACGCTGGGGCTGAGATCCAAGCAGCCCAAAAAAAAAAAATTGAGCTGATCGGATACGCAGGGAGCCGCAGCAAACTGCGTCAAGACACCCCGGCCAAGCAGAAAAGCAATGACAAGAATAAAGGAAAGAAAAAAAGGAAAAACAGAAAAAAAAAATGAAAACAACGGTAAACAGATGGCAGCGGGCCAGGCGAAGCGAGAGAGCAACGATGCAAAAGACTCGAGCGGCAAACGTTGATGCTGTCCTTAGAGACAGCCCCGAAGCCAGGAAGAACATGGACAGGGAGATGGAAACTCGGCATCTCGAAGTGATGGTGGGCACGGCCCACTCACCCTTGACACAAACAGATTTGGAACATACACACACAGTGCGCGAGGCAATGAGATGGGTTTTTAAGCCATCAGGCCCGACGCACTCATGACCCAGGACATGGCGTTCTCCTCCGAGTCCTTCTTTTGAGCGGCGCGGGTGAGTGAGCCGCGCCTGCTCGAGGGGTTGGAGGGCAAGGGCTTGAGGGTCCCGGCGGCACGCATGGCGTCACCAGCCACGACAAGATCCTGAAGCGTCGGGCGTGGGGAGGGAATGTTGCTGTAGGTGGGTGAATCAAAGTCGGTGCTGGGGGAGGCGCCCGTGGTGGCGTTTTGGGGCAAGATGAGGGCGGGAGGGGGCACGGGGGATCCGTGGGTGGAGGAGACGGTGGAGGGGGTCATTGAGGGAGGCGAGGGTTGTTGGGGCGGTTGTTGCGAGCGTCGGGAGGCGGGGAAAAGGTTGTCGAAAAAGCTCATCACCGACGTCTGGTGTGGGGAGGAGGTGGTGAAGGAAGGGAGGGCCGGGGACGGCATGCTGCTGGGTAAGCTGCAGGAGATGGGTTGATCATCGTCGCCGAGGGCATTCGAGTTGCGGGCATGGTTGGCCTTTTGCGGGATGGCCATGGGCTCGGAAGTGGCCGAGCCCGAGAGGCGCAAGCTGAGCGAGCGAGGTCGGCTCTGTTGCGGGTCAGGCACGGAAACGGTGAGCGAGGCCGAAGCAGCGGAAGTCGCAGCCCCGGGGGGCACGAGCAGCGACGACGACGGCGACATGGGCAACAATAACAATGCAAGGTGGTAAGGTGAAAGTGGCAAGTGGTTCGGGGAGTTGAAAGCAGCCAAGACAACAGCTTCAGCGACCAATCAAGATGTACTCCAGCCCGAGGAAAGCAACACCCCGACAACTGGTACACACACGAGACACGGAGACACAAGAGGGAGAGAGAGCTGTACAGAGAGAGAGACAGAGAGAGAGAGAGAGAGAGAGAGAGAGAGACAGAGAGAGAGAGAGAGAGAGAGAGAGAGAGAGAGAGAGAGAGAGAGAGAGAGACAGAGAGAGACAGAGAGAGAGAGAGAGAGAGAGAGAGAGAGATACAAACGAGCGGCAACTTGATCTGGCTGTTGATCAGGCCAAAAACCTCCACAAGAGAGATAAAACAAGATGCGACACAACCAGAAGCAAAGCCAAGAGCAGAAGCAAAAGCAAAAGCAAAAGCCGAAGCGGGAAGGGGGGCAATGCAGCAGCAAAAACAAGCAGTCGAGGGACGGCAGCGGCGGTGGCAGGACCCTCTCGGCGCGAAAAAAATGAAATCAAACAGCAACGCCAACGTAGCTAAACGACAAGGATCGCAGCAGCAACAGATACTAGAAATTTAGCTACATAAACTTCTATGGATATGGTTATCAAATCAACAACAACATGGATTTTAACGACGATAACCTCGTGCCGGCTTTTTCGGTTTACATCAAGACACACAAACACAGTGGCACGCTCCAACACACACACACACACACACACACACGAACGAATCAAATGGCGGTGGAGCTGGCTGGTGCCGATGCCTCAAAAGCAAGGGAGGGTACACTTGGAAACAAGGGGACAAGAGGACCGGGAGGGAAGAGCGGGTGGAAGACAACGGGGAAGTCACAATCAACGAGGGCTGCGCTGCCAGTTCATATGCTGTGTGTTGTTGCTGTTTAGGTTTAGTGTCGATGTGTTTTGTTTGCCTTCAACACGAAAGGAGAGACGACGTACCATGATCATCAAGCGTCGGAGAAGCTTGGAGGCTTGGAGGTTTGGGGATGGATGAAGTGCCGAACTCCGGGTTGACTGTGGAAGGCAGACGCCTGAAGAGCGCACGGACCGATGGAAGCTTGGAGGTCAATGGGTAGCACACGACACGATCAAGACGTCGATCAGGTCACCGAGAAGGGGGCGCTGCCGTTTGAGCGCAACCACAAGAGTTGAGCGCTGACGACGCCGGGCCACACAAGATGTGACTTTTGATTACAACACGATGAGTCAACGTGATGGGATCCGGTGTAACCAAAGGTACACTTGAAGCGTCAAAGAGAGAGAGAGAGAGAGAGAGAGAGAGGGAAGGCAGCGAAAAAGGGCAGCCGGTCGGGCGTCACGAGTCAAGGTATGTCACTAAAAACAAGCGGGAGCGATTCTGTGATTCAAACAGGGCAGGGGTAGAATAAGCGAGGTACAGGTGTTGATGACGACCAAAATAAAAAAGAAAATGGCAGCGCAGCAGACCCCCAATCCAGCCAGACACAGCATCACATCTACACAAACACTCCATCTCTGAACGATATTCAATCCACTTTAAGTCTCTGAAACAGGAAGCGTTTTCAAAGTTGTGACATTCATCGTTCGGTAACGTCTCTGAACCACCACCGCAACCTGACCCTCTCTCTGCTTTTGCTTTGTTTTCTGTTACTGTGACTGCTTTGCTTTGGGTTTTGTTTGTGTTTTCGTATTCACAAGCCGTTGCTGCAAGTGTGGCTGTGGTAAGGCACACATTGGTTTGGTTTAAGTTGGTGGTTGGGGTGTTTGTGTTTGTGCTGGCACGCCAAGCCACGGACCGCGACGCTGATAAAGGACTTGATGCAGCCGCCGGGCCGGTTTCCAGCAGCCGCTGGTGTGATGGCCGAGAGTGTTGGTGCGGTGGCTGGACGGGTTTGTGTCGGCGTTGAAGAGGATTGATCATCACAGGGAAAGATGACGTGCGGCGAACAAGTCATCAATGACACCATGAGCAAGAACTCCTGGTAAAACGAGTGTTATGAACCGCAGACTTGTGTTGAGACTTGTTGTTTTATCAAACAACGGGTGTTTGGAACAGGTTGCCGACTTGAAAGTGTCACTGTAAAGTGCACAATTCGATCCCACTTCGCGACTCGCCATCTGCTCCTTGTCCTCATCCGTGCACGCGCGTGTCCATGACCCAAAACTGCGGACAATATCGTAAAAGTATTATACATTGAGCGTTCGTGTCTGCATGAAAGCATCCTGCACAGCTGAGGGCCCGCACGAATGTGGTCAAGGACTCAGCATCAAAGCTGATACCCCGCCAATTGCATGCAGATACATTCATCATAAGGGTCCTCGTCGCATAGCATCGGCGTGAGCGACACGCGACACGAAACACACCACGGACAAACAGAGAGCAGCAACCTGGACAAAGGTCAACAAACAGCACACAGGGCGGTTTCCCGCGCTTTTTCGGTGGTTGTTGGACTGTTCTGCTTTAGACGTTTGGCAAAGCCCGCCCTGCCCGTTTGACTTCATTCTCTGTTTGCAGAGCGATCGACAAGCCAACCACAAGCGTCACCCATTTCAATTCGTAGGCGCAGCTTGAGCGGCCAGACAGTCACAAAGCGTTTGTAGGTCTTGGATATTGAACAATCGAGGATCCACGCGCCAGCCAACGCTACAAAGAACAGCGGCAGCGCACCGCCAGCGTCTCATCTGCTCTGCATGAATCAAGCCTTGAACTGGCGCCACATTGAGACCCAATGAGAACAAGACAATGCGGACAATGACATGTGAATCAGGTTCGCACCATTGGGATACTCAGTTTGGTAGGAGCAGAGGGTACGGCTTGCGCCCAATAGTTCTTCAATCAGCTATAAAGTGAAGCAGATCCATCGGTAAGCCAGCTTGCCTTTGCAATCGATACCACAAGTAAAAAAAAAGCCTACCTCCGGCTCGTCGGGATCCTCGTCAAGAAGCAGATCCAAAGGTCGTGAACCCGTCTGCCACAGCAGGTCATCAGGTGCCAAGCGCAGGTGCAGCAGAACAGTACAAAAGGCACGGCATCGCGATAAAAGGCTTACACGATCTCTCGTATCCGGGTCAGCACCGTGTCGCAAGAGTTGGTGGACAACCTTTCGGGTGGCAGAGAAGGCAACGCAGACTGCATTGAGCGGCGTTAGGCCGTCCTATATGATAAGATAATCAATATTCCAAAACATGAGGAACAAGTTCTTCGCGGGAGAAAGATACAGTAGAAAACAAGACGGAATGCGGGGAGCACCGACGAAGCGAGGACGCAAAACGGGAAAAGACGAGGGATTGGAGGAAAGAAAAAAAGGACCAGTGTAGAGGGAGAGAGACGGCGCAAAGGAGACAAGCAGCAGTAGCAGGAGCAGCAGCTAGAGGGAAGGGAGGAGGAGGGAGGTATTGAACTGACATTGTCCTTGGAATCAGTAACAGCACCGTGCTCCAACAGCATCTCCACCAACTCGGCATCACCGCTATTGCACGCCCAGTGCAGTGGTGTTTGGCCACCCTGTGGGATTATGCATTAGCATGACGTCCAGGTACAGCAGCATCATCATCGTCATCATGTGATGCAGATGTGTTCCATCATTGGGGGTAAAGGGGCAAGAGGGAGGTCCTGCACTGACATTGTTCTTGGCTTCAGTATCAACACCGCGCTTCAACAGCATCTCCACCACATTGACTCGAGCGTTTTCGCAGGCCATGTGCAGTGGTGTAGAGCCACACTGTGGGAGGATGCATCAGGATGACGTGAAGGTACAAGTATCATCATCATTATCATAAAGTACAGGTCGACCATCACAGCGGGGTAAAGGGGGCGCAAGGAGGTACTGTACTGACGCTGCTCTTAGCTTCAGCATTAGCACCGTGCCCCAACAGCATCACCGCCACCTCGACATGACCGTTATCGCAGGCCCAGTGCAGTGGTGTATGACCACGCTGTGGGATGATGCATAGAAATAACGTACAGGTACAATAGCATCATCAGCATCATCATGTGGTACAGGATAGGGAGGGGAAGGGAGGTACTGTACTGACTTTGTCCGTGGCTTCAGTATCCACACCGTGCTTCAAGAGCATTTCCACCACCTCGACATGACCTCTGTTGCAGGCACAGTGCAGTGGTGTATCACCACGCTGTAGGATCATGTATCAGCATAACGTACAGGGACGTCAGCAACATCATCATGCGGTGGTGGGTTCAGGGTCAAGGGGGAAGATGGAGGTACTGTACTGACCTCGTCCGTGGCTTCAGTATCAACACCGTGCTTCAACAGCATCTCCACCACCTCGACATGACCTCTGTTGCAGGCACAGTGCAGTGGTGTATCACCACGCTGTAGGATCATGTATCAGCATAACGTACAGGGACGTCAGCAACATCATCATGCGGTGGTGGGTTCAGGGTCAAGGGGGAAGATGGAGGTACTGTACTGACCTCGTCCGTGGCTTCAGTATCAACACCGTGCTTCAACAGCATCTCCACCACCTCAACATGACCGCTGTCGCAGGCCCAGTGCAGTGGTGTTTTACCATCCTGTGGGATGATGCATCGGCACGACGTACAGGTACAATAGCATCATCAGCATCATCATGTGGTACAGGATAGGGGGAAGAGGGAGGTCTTGTACTTACGTCGTCCGTGGCTTCAGTATCAACACCGTGCTTCAATAGCGTCTCGATAACCTCGACATGACCTCTGTGGCAGGCATAGTGCAGCGGAGTATAGTCATCCTGTTGGATGATGCATCGACATGACGTACAGGTACAGCATCCATCGTCATCATCAACATGTGGTGCAGGTGTGCCGTCATAGGGGAATCAAGGGGTGGGGGGCAGTGCTGACGTCGGTCGTGAGTTTAGCATCAACACCGTGCTCCAACAGCATTTCCACCACCTTGACAGTACCCTTATTGCACGCCTGATGCAGTGGTGCCGTGCCTTTCTGTGGAATGATGCATACAATATACACATCATTCAGTGACGTATTTAAAGTGTAGTGGCCAATCATGCCAAACGGCTTACGTACCCCTTCATCTTTGTATTGGGCAGCACGTCGAATACGTTGACGGTCCCAACTGGTCAACAGCTGCAGCGCCT